AAGATACCAGCACTGACATTTTCTCGTTTCCACGTAAATATCACAGGATGCATGTTTCCCATTCTGAGAGGCCTCCTACGCTATCATCTTAATTTCTGCTAAAGAAACCACATGAAATTCTTTTCATTTAAGTTTTGTGTCAGGCTTTGGAAAACAGCATCATTTCTTAATATGCATTTAAAGATTAAGCAAACACAACTTTAAAAAAGGAGTTCCTTTGGGAGAACACTCTTTTGTGCACTTTTACAGCAAGCAAAATAAGCCAACTCATATTTGACATCATTAAAAATGAGATTTAGAATCAGAAATACCTTCCCAAATAATTGAAGTAATGTATAATTAAAACCATGAGATGAGCTCAAGTAGTAGAGCGCCTGCTAAGCAAGCATGAGGCCCACAAATTCAATCCTAGTACCGAAAACAACAAAAAAGAAATTATGTTTAAGAAAATTCTGTCAGGAAACAATGTCTTAAATATAAAATCTAACACAAAAGGAAGGCAAGGAAAGGTGTATGATCACGACGAGGGCGTGCACCAGGGAAATGAGGACAGTGCACAGTCTTTTCGGAAAGCCACTGGGAAAACTGGCATGAAGATGCCAGCCCATTGCTGAGTGCTTTGATAGGCTTGATATGTTGGTGCTATGAACTGCTACAACAGCCTGGTTTTTCTTCTACTGTATGTTCCAGTATCACATGGTCTTTACTATTGTGAGAGAAACTAATTTTGGAAACACTTGCACTTGTTGCCCAAGTATATGCAATTTGCTTAGTGCACCCATTTAAATGGCTGAACAATGTATTCATTTATAAAGAACTTTGTTCTACTCCTGACACCCACATAGGATGTCAGCACTCTACAATCTCAACTTTGCCTCTAGGAGCACCGAAGTCTTCACTATTGTACTGATAATTTGAAAGATCTGCAATTTAAAAAATGTAAGTAAGAATAGAAGGAAAAGTCCATTTGTATTTATGTTAAACAAATGATTTTTTACATCAGACACAAATGGTGTAATTTTAGTTGTCTCAAAATTAACTATTCTGTGTTCAAGATAATTTAGAAACATCAGTTAAAAATTACTTCAAGATGTCTTTATTGCTGAGCACCAGTGACTCATGCCTGTAAGTAACCCTCGCTAGTTGGGAGGCTGAGATTGGGAGGGTCATGGTTTGAGGCCAGGACCCCCATCTCCAAAAAAAATTCAGAGTAAAATGGGCAGGTGTGGAGTTAGAGAGCACCTGCTTTGCAATATGAAACCATGAGTTCAAGCCCCAATCCCACCTAGAAAAAAAACCCAAGTATTTTAAACTTTTTTATTATTACATTGGTAAGTGTCCTCCAGGTATTTGAGAACATGCTTATGCCATGTGAAGATTCATCTAAGATAAAGGCTTAGGAATAAATGGGGTTTCCTTATGATTATATTTTCACAAATTGTCAAGACATTAAAACGTGTATATTTTATAGATACAGAATTAGCAAAACTACATTTAACAGGAAGTATGTGCAATAGACTAGAGATTATTTTCCTCTTCTCTGGAATAAGTCAAAGAAAATGAGTTTTATCTTTTAATACATGCCTTATTTGTCAAGCATAATACAAGCGTATCTTGGAGGTACTATGAGTTCCTTTCCACTGCAAAAAGTGAGTCACATGACTATTTGGTTTTCTACTGCATATGTAAGTCATGTTTACACCACAATCTATTAAATGTGCAATACCTTAATTCACTTTCTTCATTTGCTTTTAGTTTATCAGGTAGGGTCTCATACTAACTTTGCCAGGACTTGGTTTTGGATTGTGATCCTTCTACTTGTCTCCCAAGCAGCTGGGACCATAGATGTGTGCTGCCTCGCCAAGCTTGTTTTTGAGATAGGGTCTCACTAAGTTTTACCCATGCTGGTCTCGAACCACAATCCCATCTTCATCCCTGGGGTAGCTGGAATTACAGATGCACACCACCATGCCCAGCTTAAAAATGTCATTGCTAAAAAATGCTGATAATTGAGCCTTCACTATTGGAAAATGGTACTGACAGTTGCTCAAACAGGGTTACCAGGAAACCTTCAATTTGTTAAAAAAAAAATGCAGTACTTGTTAAGTGCAATAAAAGGAGGTATGCTTGAACATCAATCAGCCTGTCTCCATGAGTCTTTAGGATCACATAATCTCCCTTAAGCACACTGGTAGAATGGGTGCATTTAAAAATAGCTGCACAATTAACTGCATCTCCTTAGATTAGCTCAACCTGGCAGAGCTTCCACATGCTTTCTCTGAAACACTCCCATTAAGTCTGTTTCTACGCTTGGACTTACCCCTTCTTACGTACAATTCACTTATTGTGTCTTCCCATATCCCCTTTGGAATGTAAGCTCCAAGAAGGCAGGGATTTGGGGTTTTGGCTACTGGGGTATTTTAAAGAATCCCTAGAAAGCCCTCTGACACCTAGTAGCACTAAATAAAACATTCACTGACTAAAACAACCTGGTAGGGGATGAGGTCAGAGATGTAATGGGATGTGAGAGGCTTGTAGGCTATTCTGAGGACCTGAGTTCTTACTGAGTAAAATGGGGAACCACTCCAGGATTGAGCCGAGGAGGGTCATAACCTGAGATTTTAAAAGAGTCTCTCTGGCTACTGTACTGGGGATAAGCTGTGGTGGTAGGGGTGGAAGTGAAGAGTATCTTGTAACTGTTGCACTTTGAGTGAAGAATGATGAGTGCACACATTAGGGTGAAAGCAGTGTAAGTGAGAAGGGGTTCCATTCTAATGGATTACTGTGAAGGTAAAGCAAACAGTACTTCCTGATGGGATGGGTGTGCGCTGTGAGAGAGGAATAAAGAGTGACAAGGGTTTTTTCGGCTTAAACAACTGGAAGAACGGTGCTGTTATCAACTGGCTTAAGAAAGATTAAGAGAGTTTATCTGAGGGTACATCCGAGGGAAGGTTAGTTCAGTGCTGGGCATGTATGTTTATGATGTGTAAGTCATGGCCAGGTTGAGTCTGGGGCTGAGGTTCAGGGGGTGTCCCAGACTGGGGAATTAAATGAATGGAACTTAGAGTGACTCGGAGAAGGGGAACAAGGCCCGAACATACTGCAATTCAAAGCTCTTCAAGAGGTAATGAATTTCGCCATAGAAAGGGAAAGAATCTCAGGTTGTTCTCAGGTAATAACTGTCCTAAAGGAAAAAAAAAAAAACATTATTAGGTGAAGTAACTTCACTAAAGACAGGTAAGAACAAGCAAAGTATGAACTAATTTAAAGATAGAATTTATTCTCTGATGGTTTACTCATGCAAACTGCACATAAAAGAAAACAGTACAGTTTGTGTAACATTGCAAATATAAGGACTTGAAATGCTAGGTACAGAAGTAGTGTGACATCCTGGAAGTCAAAATGGAATTTGTGTTTATACAACTAATAATGATTTTATTTGCTGAATACAGACTGATTTACAATGAAAGTTTTGCTATCCTTGGTAAGCTCATTAACTGTTTACATGACTTCTTACATTTATGTACTTTTATTTTACAGTTGCAAGAATTCTGTTACCAAAGAACTTTAACTTGCATAAATAATAAGATGAAAGAAAAATGCACTGAAGGACTCTGGAGAGTGAAAAACTGAGGCTTTTCCTAACCCATTTGAATTACAATAAAATAGCCTTCTAGAAGATTTCATTATTTTGTGCCTTTGAGATCAACTCCTTAGCATAACTATGGCAAACTTAGAAACTAGATTAGAATAGGATTAGAAATTGGTTACTTTAAAATTATGAAGTCAGTTAAAAATGAGAAAAATTTAGAAGTAGAATTATCAACTAAAAATGCTCTTATCTTTAGTAAGCCAAACAATGAAATTCCTATTATCTTCATACTTAAAAGTCCTGAAATGTCATTTGTATAATTTGCATCTTCCCCAGTTTGGAACTTAGGCAAGTGGGATATTCCACATAGGCTTTTTAAATGTCAGTCTCATTAGGAGACAGCTCTGAGACTTTAGGAGACAGTGCAGTATGGAGGCAGGATAAACTGCACGACTTATTATAAATGCACTAGAGATATTTACATAATGGAATCCTGCTCAATGCCAGAAGTTGCTACTGGGTAAGACAAAGAGCTATTTTACAAAGTTTTCTTACGCACATCTACTACATTTTTATGTTTAACAATTTAGTCTATTTAAAATATTGTACTGTATTTTGAACCTAAGTGCAGAATAAAAATAGTTAATGGCACATTAGAAAACTCAGTATCCCACAGATGACTGGATAATGAGGAAAGTGTACCTACAATCATCTCATCAGAAACAAGCTACGTCATGGAATGTTATTTGCCCAAGCCTGCACAGTAGTGACATTTGAACTGCAATCATCTATTGGCCAGCAGTACACTGAAGGCATCATTAAACATTCAAGCAGATTGCTGGCATAAACTATTGAAAGACACACACACAAACACACACTCTCCCTCACTCATATTTCCCACAGTATAATTACATTGTTCTATAGATAGATACTGGTTTTTTTCCCACGAGAAAACGTTATCAAAATTTGCTACTAAAAGATGACAATGCTTTCACAAGAATAAGTACAAGTTAGATCGCAAGTACAAGACAATGGGGGTAAACAGTCGTACATTTTCTAAGTAGTAATTTCAGGCTTTTCTGGCAACCATATCATACTTGATTATGCATAAACTTCTCAGTTTGTAACCTGAAATCTGCAAAAACCAAAAAAAAAAAAAAAAAAAAAAAACCCAAAAAACCCAAAGTCCCAAAACTCCCAAAATAACAAGAGCTAATTTAAAAAATTACTAGATATCTGATAACCCTGTATTGTACATTATATAATTTCTTATTTTTCAGCCTCAAACATAGGTTTAAAATACTGAATTTAAGACTTAAAAAATAAAGTCATTTTTGAAATGCTGAAGATTCCACAATTTTTGTCTACTTAAAATCTTAAAAAAATGCAGTACTATTAATGACCTTGATTAAAGAACGTGCATAAAAGCACTGTATGTCTTTTATCATGTTTGCGCTCACTTAAAAAAAAGTGTTCTCTAATATACTTCCTTTTGCATAATGTGCAAAATAAAAGGCAAAAAGATTAAAAGCAAATTTCTATCTTCATCTTGCCTAGTGCTTTAGGACTTTGTTCACATCACAAAGTCAAGAGGGACTATGAAGAACTTTGGTATAAATGATAACAACACTACCGTCATAGTTGAGGATTAGGGGTAGGGAAAAGAAATGGAAGTGGGAAGAGAGATTCAGTAACACCCCCATTTATTAAAACACCACCAAATTAAAAGTGAAATAAACCACAATGAATTATGATACAATTTACACAATGAGCACAGAAAAATTAATATATCTAACAATATTTATAAAAAAAAGCAAAATCAGTCTTTTTCCAGAGACTAAAAACTGTTGTTCAGTCTGATCACCAACTTTAGAGCCAAATTTAATTTCAAGTAAAAAAAAAAAATTTACAACCACAGATTTCGCATAAATGGAAACTGGTCTTTCCTTGATTTCCCTTTGAAGTCACTAATGAGTATCTAAAACTGCTGCACTGCAGGTTTTAATCAACTTCCTGAGGGCTGCGACTGGGAGGAGGGAGCCAGGACAATCTGTGAAAGTGCAGGCTCTGTACTCTGGTCCGCCATCTGGGAGAGGACTGAAGTGGCCACAGCTTCTGCCTTTGACGTAGAACTGACTCCATTAGATGTGCTGACAGAACTGTGCTGGATAGCTTCTGCATGTGGACTACTTGGCACTGAAAGATCTTCTGAACTGTCATCTTTATCAGCAGCTACATGGATAAAAGAAAAATTGTTCATTTTCTTAAAGTATGTGTAAAAAGTATCAGTCAATCAAGTCAATACACAGAGTAAAAAGTTAGAAGGCGTTTTACTAAATTTTTACTTAAGATGGTATGACCAGAACTGAGGAACTGAAAAGGTGAAGTCATGAAGCACACAATTTTACCTGTAACACATCAAATGAGGAAACAACCATGCGTATGGGAACGAACACCTAGGTGCCTCAAAGAACAGAACTGAAGAAATAATTGCTAACTTATGCTAAGGAGAGGAGTTTGGGAGAAAGCCCCTCACAGATATAAGCAAACATCAAGAAACACATTGAACAAAGCCAGTTTATCTGCCTACATGTCGTTCTTAGGAAAAGATAAAAAAATTATAACCACACGCATAAACAAAATGAATCTTACATACAAATTACATTTCCAAATTATTCCCTCTGCATTCCCAAAACTGTATTTATTCTGGCTGATTTTCTGTCTACTGCAACCATGGACAATTGTAATACCTGATTCTAATAATGCTTACACATGAGAATAAGCAGTATTTAGAGTCCAAATGTCACCAGCTATTAGTTACATGAATTAACTGGGATTCAAGTAAAAATCTCTACAAAACTAGATACTGCATTTGAAAAGATATTCAGGAAAGGGCATTCTAAATATGTGTGAAAATAAATCTATAAAATTTAGACCTGAACATAAATCTCCTACATCTTTCTTGTTTTAGCAAAACAGAACCCAGTAATTTCATTTAGTAAAAAATTTGATATATGCATATGTAAGTTATAAGGCACAATAACACCAACACCTGTAAGCCCAGCCTTCTGCGAGAACACTGCCAATGATACCATTCCTTCCTTGCCACAGGTCATTACTACTGTGACATTTCTTTAACGGGCCCCTTGTCTTTTCTTTGTAGACTTGCCATATTGGTATATAGCCTTCAACAATATAACTTAGCTTTGTTTACTTTTAAACATTGTAAAAACAGTACCATCTGGATGTATTTTTTTGAACTTGACCTTTTTTTCACTTGGCATGAAAAATAATGTGTATTTAGTGTTTAGAAGTGACAGTATGCAGGCTTTCTATTAAATCTGAGAATGAAGACTGGCCTGTTTATTAATGGGCAGATGCCCATTCTGAAAGCTAATTAGTAAAAAAAAAATTGTGGACCTTATGAATTGAAGCAAGACTTATCCCATAACATATGCCTATAATCCCAGCACTTGGGAGGTGGAGGCAGGAGAAGCATGAGTTCGAGGCCAGTATGGGCTACATAGAAAGACCTGTCTTAAAAAATTAAAAAAGACTTATCCCACAGTATGTAATGCAGAAGATGGAGGGAAAGGATATGTAGCAAGCACAGTTTAAGCTTGAATAAAATTCCCCATTCTAAGGATTGTCTGAAATATAGTTTTTCTAAATTTTGACACATGAGCCTCATATTCATGTACCTTTTTTTTTTTTGCAGTACTGGAGTTTGAACTCAGGGGCTCTACACTTGCCAGGCAGATGCTCTACCACTTTTGCCATTCCACCAGTCCTAAATCCATGTACTTTTAAAAAGAATGTTTTAAAATGTATTAATGAGATGAAATCCCATCTTCTCTATAATGTGCTATAAATGCAAAACTATTCCCCCAGATCAACCTTGACCTCAAGATACAATAAAAAAATCACAATTAGTTATCTTTTAAAAATTATATAACCAGAGGAATACCGTTCTGATCAAGCAGTAATGAATATTATAAAATATTTGTAACTCAGTTATTTAAAGTAGACAATACAATAGTTATGTTTTCAAAGGAGAGAAAATGCTGGTGATGACAGCTCATTTGTAGAGAACACTAAACAGCCCCATTTGTTTATTTTACCACATTCTTCAACAGAACAACAAGCTGACCTTTACCTAAGTGTTAAGTTCTAGGGACACATCAGCTTTCACACACAAAGAGGCTGGTGGGGATAAGCAGAATAAGGAAATGTATACTATAGGCAATGACTCAAACATTAAACATAATGGAGGAGTGCTTATCTACATACTTTCAGAATTAGTAAAGGAGTCCTTAAATAGCAAAGTAGGTCCTTCTTCTCTCTAGACATGACCCACCTTCAGTCTACTGAAAGTATATTCTTTCCTAATAAACTTTACTATCTCTTTTACTCCAAAAAACAACAATTAGGTAAAGTAAATCTTTAGGCGGTACAATGTACCAGTCGTCACTTATAAACTGTGTGATTATAAATTACATATATAAAATATCTTTGCAATGACGGCTAATTCTAGGAATGTGAGAGGAGAAAATGAACAGCATAATCATAAGTACTAGAAAGACACATCATGCTGCGCTCAAAGAGCTGTTACTTTTAGCTTAAAGCATATCTACTTTAAAAACAGATGTTTGACAATTCAGTTATATAGAAAGTTCACTGCCTATGTTCACTAATATGTTCAATGAAATTATTAGTACTCAATTAGGGCCTTCCACGTATGATTATAATTTTTATGCTGTATTCTTCATGAAACCCAAATATTTAAAATGTGTTTTTTTTCATTAAAGTTTTATATCAATCAATATTCCATGTGTTATATCGCTTAACATTTAGGGTCATGGTTTTCCCATGACTGAGGGGTTTCCTATAGTATGGTGCAGGACTTTCAGTGTTAAAATTGACACACCTTGTGACTGTGACTTAGGACCATCACTTACTTGCCAGACTTTGTAGTATTTTTTCATTTCTACTAAATCTTAAGTTTTCTTTCACATGTTTTGAAAGATTTAGTTAGTAATACAGTCAGTCACCGTTTATAACTGCTGTATGAGACAACATGACCGAGGGTGAAATTTGTGAATTTCTAAAAGATACATTCACTTAATCAACTTCTATTGCTACCCTGACTATTAATCAATAAAAGTGAGACTGTACAAAGATTTCAAATTTGAAATGAAATTACTACAAAATTTCTACAGATTCCAATTATCTCTGAAGAATTGAAGAGAATTAATTTCATAATAAATCTATCCTTTACTTAGGTTAATTTCATCTCCTAAATGACTAGACAGGAACAAACATAAGTGTATTTCCAAACAAAAAAAATGTCTTATTCGTTTCTTTGATTCTCACAGGCTAGTACAATCCATTCACTAAAATCTGTTAACCCACATTTTCAATAATATTATATAACAGAAGATAAACCCACATATTTATATGCTCAAAATATCTTTATAAAACAATTGTAGAAATGAATGAATATTTGGCTTGTATTTGCTCAATGTATACTGTCTGGATAACAGAGTTAAAAGTTTTGGGATTATCCAATAAATTATCAAAGATTAAAAAATTATAATTTTGAATTAAACTCAATTTAAGATGAGTTAATTTCTAATTTTATAGAATCATCTGTGTATTTCCTTTTAAACTATCAAAATTCAAGATGGCTTTCTTGTTGAAGAAAATCATGTATGCATAATGCTGAACTCAGTGGCTTCTATAGGAAATTATGTTGTTAAGTCAGATGGGAACTATAATGGCCTCATCCCTGCAGCAATCATTGTTAATATAAATCCCAAACATATTTCTATATGGTTCCAATTTACTCCACAATGTGTTTCACTATCCTGTCAAAGTGACGAGATATCAAATAACTGAGATTTATATGCTCAAAACTGACAAAAACCAGTGTTCTAAATATACATGGCAACTGAGAGTTGCAAAATCTATTGAATCTTTTAAATTAAAAAATATTGCCCATTCTGATGAAACTGCTTACAACGACTACAAGTAAAGATGGTAGCCATTAAGTTTTATCGTGAGCACCTGAGGAACTGTTTGTATCCAACACAAAATGTTTCATTCTTTTGAATTACTGACACTAGCAAATTAAAATGAAGTGGATACATATGGCTGAAACAATCTTCACATTTACAAATATCCTAAAATATCACTAAATCATAAAAATGAAAGCTATGGGTTATATATTATGAATGTTATCTAATGCATTCCCAACTCTGTTATTGCAAATCTGTGTGCAATGGACAAAATTGGCCATTTATTCAAAAGTAACAGCTGGTTCCAACATTGTGCATCTTATCAAAAACGAAGGACATTACAGAAAGGAAAAAGCACAATTAACCTCTAAAATGCTGAAACAGAAGAACTTCATTTTTTGGGAAAACATTTACAAGAAAACTTACAAGCAGATAATTTAAATTATTAAAATTAAAAATGCTGTTGTTTTAGCATTTTTATGAGTAATAAGATGGCTCTACATAAAGTTTCACAACAATAAAAATATTGCACAATGCTGTATTACCTAAGAAAGCAACAGGACCTGAAACTGAACCGTAAATGAATATTATACATTAAGTGAAGACAGCTGATTAAAAAGAATCTCCATTACTGAATGGGGTAGTGTTTCACCCTGTGAAGCTAAGACAAAGTATTATCCTGAGATAAACAAAATATCATTGCTACTTAGGAGTATATCTAAAATTTTTAGCTATACCTATTTTGTTAATTCTCATCAATGCCTAGAAAAAAACTAGAAGTAAATTTCAAAACTCTCTAGATTAAAAAAATTATACCCCCTCCCATACTCAAAAGCTCTTTAGATTCTAAAAAGTATACCTCTCACCACCCCATTCTATAACCTTGCAGAAATTCTGATATTTAATCTTAAATATTAGAACTACATTCTCCATTGTTTTTAATGGCGGCTCTGCTCACTCTGGCAGTATTTCACTGATGTAGCCTAAGGCGTAGGTAATGGAACATTACTCACTATGATAGCCAGATTTCTTCTGCATGGCGGTTACAGGGCAATCTTTATGAGCCAGAAGAAGCTGTTTCAGCTGTGCCACTTCATTTCTCAGCAGGGTGACTTCGCTCTGGAGAAGAAACAACTCATGTACCTTACCAGCATTAGACTACACCAATTTTCTACTGTTTAAAACAGCAAGGATTAAGATATAAAAATTGGACGTCTTTAGCAGGTCATTAAGGAATAAAGAAAATACGCTGCTTAAATATGCCTAATCAATGCATGTCAGTTTTTATATTTTAAAATTATACAAAACCCACAACTTATATAAAAATTTAAGTGAGATAACATCATAATGGGTAACATATTTCAAGCTTTATACCTGTTGAAAGTAATGTAAAATAATTTAGCATATTAGAAACATAAACATCAAGAGAAATAAGTCAAACAATCTAAAGGCAAGTCTGTTTCATCAAATAGTTCATCACATGCCAACAGTGAACTACAACACTTTACTTAAGCACAGACTAAAACTGATGCTTGTAACAACTCTAAACCCTGAGTGAAAAGTTATGTTTAGAATATTGTACTTAAGAAAAGAACAGGTAGATAATGATCAAAGCACAAAAGGTAAAATTCAAGAGTTTTGCTTTAAAAGATAATCTATTATTTAGAAAACTCATTTCTATGAAATACTGCAACTACTGGTGTCAACACCACTAATTATAGCTCACTAATGACACTATTGATGAGAAATCTGTTATGAATAATTCAGTATTTATTATGCAAGTCTCCTCCACTTCCCACCTGTCAGCTTGACTTTGACACTGACATCTAAGTTTCACTCATTAATTTCCCTTTTTTTTTGGTGGTGGTGGGGTTTGACCTCAGGGTCTCACACTTCTAGGTAAGTTGTTCTTATCAACTTGACCCATATCCCTCAGCCCTTTTCTATTTTAGTTATTTTTCATCTGGGGTCTCATATTTTTGCCTGACTAGCCTAGACCACGATCCTCCTATTGATGTCTCCTATGTACTTGGGATGACAGGTGTGCACCACCACACCCAGACACCATGCCCACTTTCATGGTTAAGATGGGGGTCTCATTAACTTTTTGCTTAGACTGGCCTTAAACTGGGATCATTGCAATCTCTGCCTCCCAAACAGTTGCAATTACAGCTGTGAGCCATTCACTGTGCCCAGTCTATAATCTTTTATAATCTGGTAAATGTGGCCATATTGTTTTTAACTGTGTTTCAAAAATATTCTTTAACCATACCAAAGACTAGCAATACATCTTAAGTTTATCATGTTCTCACTGCCAATTAGTCTGAAGTTTATGAAAAACCAGTATTTGTCCTGACTTATAAAAACAGCAGTCTTGAATGACTAGTAATACTATTGTCTCTATCTAGAAAGTCTTTCCTGTGTCTTTCGCTTTGCTAATTATTTCACTCATCTTTAACAGGCAACTAAGTATAATATAAACTTGCATTGGGAAAGATGATAGGCCTCCATTTCTGTAACCCCACAGCCATATACATATGAATATATTTAGACAAAGCTGTTTCACTCAGTACTTTTCACTCTAGATTGCAAATTTTGGTGTACTTGTTTACCACTTCTACCAGACTGAGAATTTCTTGAGGGCAGAGAGCATCCTTCTCTATGTATCCCTGGAGCATAGTACACAGTCTACCATGGGCCGAACAGAGAGCTGTATTTTAGTGAGGTCTACAGTAATTCTATGTTCAGGCAATAAAAACTATCAGAGAAGGTGAACTAAAATAGCTTTAATAGAGGAAAATTAGTCTGAGGTCCTGATTCCATTATTTATACTAACAATATTACCAACATAGCTATATTGTTTACTCAGTTATGAAAGGAAGCATCACCTAATTACAAAATTTTAAAATCACAACTCTCTTCTCCCTTAAATACTCCACACATTCATCATAAACTAGATTATGAAACAAAATGCTATATACGATAAAATTACTGAGAGTTACATGAATTGATGTATACAAAATACTGATTTAAGGACTTTGAGGATTAAATATTAAAACAGTATTGCTGGACATAGTGGTACATACCTGTAATCCCCACACTTGAGAGGCCGAGGCAAGAGGATTGTTGAGTTTGAGGCCAGCCTAAACTAAACAGCGTGTCTCTCAAAAAAAAAAAAACCAACCCCCAAATCCTTAATATCCTTATGAACTCATATAAAATTAAATATATACATTCAAATTCTCTTTTTAAAGACAAGTTTGGAACTAATGAATGGGACATTAGAGTCTATATTTCAAATTTAACAGTTGCTTATGTATAACTGTTGATCTAATTAGATTACCTGGTCCATTAACAATTAAACAAATGTGAAGACGTCACTAGATCACAATGGGTCATGAACATTAAGGATTGAAAAGATAAGGCACTTGATTCTTATTGCAATTTGTATTTGTGCTCATTGAATTTTAATTTGAGTTAAACTTTCAGTGATCACCGGAAAAGATCAAGAAGGGAAGGGGAAACTAATATATAAGTTATAAGGGAAATACTGGATAAAGTGGCTGCATAAATTATGATTTTAATTATGAAATTTTTCTATAAAAAGATTAGAAGGCAGGTAAGAAGAGAGGGATACTATATAACAAATATAATGTGAAGACTCCTCTACACAATGATATTAGCAAGTAAAGTTAGAAAGGTTGCTTGGTTACTTACACACAAACACACATACAGAGTTTACTTAGGTCCAAGTAAATTTGAGGAGATGGTTAAGCCATAAAGAGATTTAATATTAAATTAAAAAAATGTGTACACTTCTACCATCTACTCTGTGGATTATTTTAGACTACTTTTATTGGCTTCTCACCACACAGTTTGATGTGTTATTGTGGATATAAAACCTTATGCTTGACAATAACTAGATCTTTACAATATTGAAAACATTCAGGGTTTCACTAGAACTATACATATTTTGGGAGCATTTTTGTAAAATGAATAGGAAAAGGAATAGCCCCTCTATTATTCTCACATTGAATTACTTGTTTTGTGTCTGTGTCCTGTCATAGATCACAAATTCTTTAAGTGAAAAGACAATGTCTTTTTCACTGTTACATCCCCTGTTATCTTATGACTTCCACACAGGATGAATAAATCACATTTGCACAGTATAATTACAATACATTTCTATCCCATCTCATTTGATCTTCATAATCATACTTATTCTATCAGTTTGGCAGATGGAGAAGTAAAGGTTCAGGAACACTTTTAGTGAAAATAAGTACTATTCTCAAACCTACAATAAAACACACAAAGTAGAGGTAGTATCAATATTACTCCTTACCCCTTCTAAAATACAGTTAAAAACTCAGGAAAAAAAGGGAAGACAGTTACATCACAGAATAATATTTTTTTCCCAGCAATTTTTCTCCCATCCAAGTACTAACCAGGTCCAACCCTGCTTGGCTTCCAAGTTTGATAAGATATGGCACGTTCAGGGTGGTATGGCCATAAACTTTTTTTTTTGGTGGGACTGGGGTTTGAACTCAGGGCTTTGTGCTTGTAAAGCAGATGCTCTATTGTTTGAGCCACACCTCCAGTCCTTTGCTAAATAATTAAACCAAACACACATTGTATAGTATCTTTGAATTGTTGCTACTTTTTCTATTTCAAGTAGTTAATACAGAAATAAAATATTGTTTAGGTACTAGTACTAAAAGACTTGACCCAATTACCTATAAGTCAATGAATCAATAAACAAAACCTTTTCACATCATTAACGTTTTAGTGAAAAATCCTCACGTATTCAGCTTTTATATTTGAAAGTATTTTTCTATCAATTTATTGAGCTTCTACTCTACACCTATTTTGCAATTTCTAAGTTTTAAAAAGCAAATTCCAAGCTGGGTGCTGGTGGCTTATGCTTGGAATCCTAGCTACTTGGGAGGCTGAGATCAGGAGGATTGCAGTTCAAGGCCAGCTTGGGCAAAAAGCAAAAAGTTCTCAAACAATAGTAGGCATGCACTTGTCATCCCAGTTATGGCAGGAAGCATAAAAAATGAGGATCATGGTCCAGACTGGTCTGGAGGAGTGGCTCAAGTGGTAGAGCTCCTGCCTACCAAGTGCAAAGCCCTGAGTTCAAACCACAGTACCACCAAAAATAAATAAATAAAATAAAATCCACAACAAAAAAATCTTTCCCAGTTTTATCCATAGAATAATTGTTAGAGCTACTGTCTATAAAGAAACGAGGATGGCTTTTGGTACACCAAGGGAACATACTAAAACAGTAAACTGAAAACTGACCCCCATAATGAGTATAACTTAAAGACAAAGCAGGTTAACACCAGCTTCTATGCCCTCCCTCATACTGGGGTTTGAACTCAGGTCTTCATGCTTGCTAGGCAAGTCCCCTACCACCTGAGCCATGCCTTCAGTAAGTTAACAACATTTTAAGTAAAGAATAACAGTAATAGAACAAATATTACTTCAAAAATGCAGTAACTGATAGCTAACAGTATTCAATTCTTAGTGTAATTACCATAAATGTCTGTAATATACTTTGATGAAATTCCTTTTTTTAGCAATAATTTTAGAAAGCTAAAACCTGATTAATGTAGTGAGTGGGGCAACGAAGTTGAATAATTACTATTTTCTTTAAAATCAAATATGTACTTGGTGAGATAATGAACAACCACGTGTCAATACTCGTTAAACCTTTTAAGTAACCATGGGTCATTACTGCCCACTACACTGATCAGCTAAACTTCTATGTCACATGAAGGATTATTAAGGATATATAGAATTGACGAATGTTATCACATAAAGTAGAATTTAATTATTTCTTTGACATTCAATTTTCTTTACAAGTCATTCTGCTCTTCACAGTTAACGGTTTTGCTGTTGGCAGCCTGAAAGAAATTTTTGCTCCATGAATTTATTATAAGCATGTTAACTCTTAACACTCTGAAAAACTAAAATCTGTCACACATTTAAAAACTGTTTTTAATCCCCTTATGCCACTATTTTCATCCTGGTACATGTCATTCTTATAATTTTACCTATATTTAGGAAGTCATTTCTATTCAAATTCTACACATATGTTTATCTATCAATAGATCTTTCATTAGTAAAAAAGGATCATGCTATACCTTTAATTATGCAACCAACTTTTTAGTAATTTGAGGTGAAATTCACATAACAAAAAGGCAGCCATTTTAAAGTGGCATTTAGTACATTCAGGATGTTGAGTAAACACCACCTCTAGATATAAAACATTTCCATCGCTCTGGTAAGTAGTTTCTCCCCAGTCCCACTCCATCACACTAAAATATGCATCCTGTCTCTATGGATTTATCCATTTTGGATATTTCATGTATGTGGAATTATACAATGTGTGATGTCTTATTCTGACTTCTTTCCTCAGCATGTTTTGAGGTTCATCTCTGCTTTAATAGTTATTGCTTTTCATAGGTAATATTACAACTTATGTATGCATATAGAATAATTTATCCATTCCTTCCGATGGACATGTGGGCTATTTCCAGCAACTTTCTTGCTGCCATGATAGCATGTTACAGATACTTCCCAAGGTTAATATATCCAGATAGATTGAATTTTTTAATCTTTTTTTGAGAAGTTTTTTTTTTTTGATTTTTTTTTCTTTTATTATTCATATGTGCATACAAGGCTTGGTTCATTTCTCCCCCCTGCCCCAACTCCCTCCCTTACCACCCACTCTGCCCTCTCCCTCTCCCTCTCACCCCCTCAATACCCAGCAGAAACTATTTTGCCCTTATTTCTAATTTTGTTATAGAGAGAGTATAAGCAATAACGGAAGGAACAAGGGTTTTTGCTGGTTGAGATAAGGATAGCTATACAGGGCATTGACTCACATTGATTTCCTGTGCGTGGGTGTTACCTTCTAGGTTAATTCTTTTTGATCTAACCTTTTCTCTAGTACCTGTTCCCCTTGTTCCTATTGGCCTCAGTTGCTTTTAAGGTATCTGCTTTAGTTTCTCTGCGTTAAGGGCAACAAATGCTAGCTAATTTTTTAGGTGTCTGCCTATCCTCACCCCTCCCTTGTGTGCTCTCGCTTTTATCATGTGCTCATAGTCTAATCCCATTGTTGTGTTTGCCCTTGATCTAATGTCTACATATGAGGGAGAACATAGGATTTTTGGTCTTTTGAGCCAGGCTAACCTCACTCAGAATGATGTTCTCCAATTCCATCCATTTACCAGCGAATGATAACATTTCGTTCTTCTTCATGGCTGCATAAAATTCCATTGTGTATAGATACCACATTTTCTTAATCCATTCATCAGTGGTGGGGCATCTTGGCTGTTTCCATAACTTGGCTATTGTGAATAGTGCCGCAATAAACATGGGTGTGCAGGTGCCTTTGGGGTAACCTGTGTCACAGTCTTTTGGGTATATCCCCAAGAGTGGTATTGCTGGATCAGATGGTAGATCGATGTCTAGCTTTTTAAGTAGCCTCCAAATTTTTTTCCAGAGTGGTTGTACTAGTCTACATTCCCACCAACAGTGTAAGAGGGTTCCTTTTTCCCCCGCATCCTTGCCAACACCTGTTGTTGGTGGAGTTGCTGATGATGGCTATTCTAACAGGGGTGAGGTAGAATCTTAGTGTGGTTTTAATTTGCATTTCCTTTATTGCTAGAGTTGGTGAGCATTTTTTCATGTGTTTTTTTGGTCATTTGAATTTCTTCTTTTGAGAAAGTTCTGTTTAGTTCACTTGCCCATGAGAAGTTTTTAAAATCAAATCCAATCCCCAATAATACACCACTTTATCTCTTCACATTTTGGAATTCATTTCTAAAGCTAAGAAGATGACATCATCACTCAGATTTTTAATGATTAAAAAGGTGATTTTATATGTTCTATTTATAATTTGAGAATTCAGTTAGTGGTCTCATGCTTCAAAATTAGGTGTGAGCTAACTTCATTTTTTTTGGTGGTACTTGGGGTTGAGCTCAGAACCTTGCACTTGGTAGGCAGGCACTCTACCCACTTGGCAGGCACTCAAAGCTCTTTTTTATTTGGTTATTTTTGAGATAGGGTCTCACTTTCATGCCTGGGCTGGGCTGGACTGTGATCCTCCTATTTATGCTTCCCTCACAGCTGGGATGACAGGCACACACCACCAAGTCCAGCTTATTGGTTGAGATGGGGTCTTACTAACTTTTTGCTTAGGCTGGCCTCAAACCACAGTCTTCTTCATCTCTGTCTCCCCAGTAGGTAGGATTACAGGCTTGAGCCACTACTCTTGGCTCACAAACTTCTAACTAGATGATATATCTTGCCTATATTTCTCCAACAAAAATTTTTATCCAAGTTAGAAATATGAAAAGGCACATTGTTGCAATAATGATTTTTACCATATGGTGGAAAAATAAGATAAATGAAGATTATATTTATTTTGAATCCTGAGTTTTCTAAGATTTTCTGAAAGTTCTGCTATTAATAATAAGTGGTGACCAGTGTTGCAGCACAATTAAGGAAATAGCAATATTCATTAAAAACTGTTAATGCTACTATAACTTAGATCAGGCAGAACACTGGCCCAACCTAAAGTCCTGGTAAAGGACATACATACTATTTAAACGCTTTTCACTTCCTGAAAAGGCACAAGGTCAAATTATAAAGGAAGGTATTAATCAATTTGCCTTGAAATTAAATTTTCTTTGTGAAAACATTCATTTTAATTTGTTTGATTCATTTTAATTTGATTGATTTATGTAACAATCCAGAGAAGTAAAACTAGTAAGCATTATAATTCTATTCTATAGGTAAGACAACTGAAGCTATCAGAGATTATGCTTTATGTTATACAACTACAAAATAACCAAGTTATCAGAAGATTTTTAGTTATGAATAACATATTTAAATCACTTTGTTAATGCAATATGAATACTGAAAATGTAAATAGTAGCAGCTATTATTCTAATAGGCTTGGTAAAGAACAGCCATTTTTTAAGTCTATGCATAAACTAGTATTATAATCTGTTTCATTTTATTTAAAAGGGAAAAAATTCAGAATTTCTGTCTAACCTGATGTAGAAGTAGTTTTTGAATAAGAACTCAAATATCAGATGATAATGATAACATTTCCAAGTAAACTCTAGTATATAAATATATATTTGAGGTCTACATGGAATGATAAGACATGATTAATTTTTTTCTAAATTATTAAAAGTTTTATAAGGTAATCTATTTGTTTTAAAACTACCATATCACTACTCAAAATACAAGGGTTGGGTATGGTGGTGGACTGTAATGCCAGCTATTTGGAAAGTGAACATAAGAGAATGGCAGTTTGAGGAGAGCCTGGCACAAATTAGTGAGACTTCATTTCAAAAACAAAGCAAAACAAAACAAGCCAGGCATGATGGCACATGCCTGTAACCCCAGCTAGTCAGAAAGTACAGGTAGGCTGATTGTGGTTTGAGGCTAGCTGGGAAAAAGCAAGAAACCCTTTCTGAAAAACAAACTAAAAGCAAAAGAACTGAGAGGAGTGAATCAAGTGACTGAGTGCTTTCCTAGTAAGCAAGCATGAGTTAGAACCCCACTGCCAAGAAAAAAAGCAACAAAACACAACAAAACCTTTTTAAAGATGTCTGCCTCATGTATGGTTATAAAATTTAATTTGATTAAGTACTATACCTGATAATAAAACCTTTTTATAAGCATTTAAACAGACACATTTATATTTGTGACATCTTTACAGACAGATTTAAAAAGGAGTAGGGGTCCTCTTATTACCAATTATGATTATATAAGAAGATTCATTTTTAATTAGAATGAACAACTGAAAGACTTGATCTAGCCAGACAATAATGGCACTTGCCTATGATCCTAGTTACTTGGGAAGCTAAGGCAGAAGAATAGCAAGTTGAAGTAGAGCCTAAGCAACTTAGGCAGACCCGTCTCAAAATAAACGTAACAATTAAAAAAAAGTGTAGTTCAGTAGTAGAGTGCTTACCCAGCATCTGCAAGGCCCTTTAAAAAAGACAAAAAAACAAAAAAACAAAAAAAACCCCTATATTCTCTTAAAACAAAACAAAATAAAATTGTAATTCAAATAAAAGAATTTAAAAATGAAACTGTTGCTAAAGCAAATTTATAAATTAAGCAGGAAAAGTGAAATATAAGTCATATTTTTAAATTCTTGGAATTTCCTATCACAACTTTATAAACTTCAACCAAAATAGTTTAGGTATTTGTGTACTAAACAGGTAAACTACATTTCTTCATGTGTCAGTGTTAAAAAGTTTTATATTCCTTCATCTCAGCACTCAAATATGTTTACAAACTTCTGATTTCACATATACCTACAACCATCCCCTAAAATGTCTCAATGGCAAAGCATAAAATGAGGGAGAGAGAAATTATGTTCCCAACTATTAAAAATTAGAACAAAATTTACACCTCATACCTGAAGCTGTCCATTTAAAGAACTCAAGTCTTCTGCTTTCTTCTCTAAGGACTGAACCCAGACTTTCCTTTTTTGTCGGCATCTTGAAGCTGCTGCTCTATTTCGCTCTAGAAACTTTCTTCTTTTTTCATCAGGATCTTCATTAGCTGCTCTTCTTCGACGACCACTCGTACTTTGAGTCTGTGGAGTTGTGTGAGCTGGAGAAGCCTACATCAAACACAAATGGAAGCTTGTTTTATGTGTATTTAGCACTGTCACAGTGAATTTCTTTAATGCGTATTTTCATTTAGGCAGAACTATGAAAAAAATGAAAATAATATAAATGGTCATACGCTGATCTTTATTGTATCATTTAATCCTTAGATAACTATTGTTTTAAAGTACTAAATTTAAAAACTTAATAATTCTTAAATTAAATTCATGACAGGAAACCATGTTTTCAATGCTATTCTTGAAATAAAATATATCTCATTAAATCCGTCAAATTTTCTTTAAATACTGGTTATTCTTAAATGAAGAGTTAAAGTATGTATGTATTTTGGGGGTAGTTTTGAAATTTAGAGTTAGTCTTTTTCTAAGGGTCATATTCTTATAATTATTAACGTTCATTTTCCTGGTGGGAAAAATACCACAAGAGCCCTGATTTTCATTTTAATTGGTCCTCCTGCCTTCCAATGGATCAGTTTGGTTATGTCTGATCAGCCAGGGATAAAAATTTTCAGTCATTATTTGGACTGTCTAGAATATGGGGCTATTGAATACTAGGTAACCCTAAGCCTCTCATAAATCCTAAACCTGTGCCACATAACATTTGAATATGGGAGACAGGAAATGAACTATTGAAAAAGATACAAGGAAAGAGCACTTTGTGGTTACTGCTACATAAACCTGTGCCACATAACATTTGAATATGGGAGACAGGAAATGAACTATTGAAAAAGATACAAGGAAAGAGCACTTTGTAGTTTGAGAGACCCTATTTTGAAAATACTCAACACAAAAACAGGGCTGGTGGAGTGGCTCAAGTGGTAGTACGCCTGACTAGCAAGCATGAGGCCCTGTGCTTAAACTCAGTACAAAAAAAACCAAAAAAACCCAAAAAACCCCCACTTGCAACCTTGAAATATTTTAAAGAAATAGTAAGTTACCTATAGAACTTATCTTTACCTTTGCTAATTATATTGATTAGGGGGCCACAAATTTTCATCTTATTGCAAATGGGTTTTTTTCATGTATTCATTTGTTTGAATAGGAAACATATACACAAATAAAAACATTGTACACCATAAATATATACAATTTTTACTTGTCAATTTTTAGTTTTTAAAATAAATTGTTAATGATAGGAAAGGATTTTATTCATGCATATTAATTGTACAAAGGGGTTTCATCGTGGTATTTCCATATATGCATATAATATACTTGGACCAAATTTACTCCCTCTATTACTCTTTCTTATCTCTCTCACTTTTTTAAAAAACAATTTTTAACAGGTTTCATTATTCTGCTTTCATCCATGCTTATAAAGTAGTTCAATCATATTTACCCTTCCTTCACCCTTACCCCTCACACTGGCTCCTACCCTATGTACCGGGTGTGTGTGTATATGTGTATGTGTGTGTGTGTGTATTGAACTGGTAACAGATTTTAAAGAAAACTTTTCTTTCTATTAATTCTGTTACAGAGAAACTGAATATAATTTTGAGAAACTTATTTCATTCCCTCTTTTTTTGTTTGGGCAGTACTGGGGTTTGAACTCAGGGCTTGACGCTTGCTAAGCAGGCATCCGATCATTCACTCCTTCTTGACTGAGGAACTTTAGAGTTGTGAATTTCCTCTTTAGAAAATTTGTTCTATACCTAGAAAAATATTAGAACCTTACATTGAGGAGAATGAAGAGTTTTCTTTTAACTATTGTCACAGACTTCTTAAAGACTTGTCATAAAAACAAACTATACCTATATTAACATTAAATGTTTTCCTTGTTGTGAGCTTTTATTTAAACTGTTCTTGTATAACCTAAATATTATGAGTTAAAGAAAAATTTAATAGGTTATATTCTATAAATGTTATAAACAATAAAATCTTTAATACTGTTGAGGAATGCTGTATTTTTCAGAAATGTGTATAATTTTCTTAAAGGAGCAAAACTGAAACCTTTTTTAAAATTATTGATTCTTCTGTTTTTCTTCTTTTTTGGCAGCACTGGGGTTTGAACTCAAAGCCTCATGCTTGCTAGGCAGGCGTTTCTTACCACTTCAGCCACTCTACCAGCCCAAATTTATCACCGATTTTTCTGTTTCCTGAAATGCTGTATGTTAATTACAGTGTATATCATATTATAACGATCTCGTCTACAGATATTAAAGTGTTAGAGCTATTAACTACTGTTCCAAGTATCCCAAGGGCAGACATTTTTTCTTTAGTAATTCTTGTTTCTGTTTTTAATATTTGGCCACTTGTTGTAAAGCATTACTCCTTTTTATTTCTTTGTGTAAGTACTCTTACCTTCTAGGTGATCAGAAGTCTTTTCAAGAAATATATAGAAAAAAAAAAAGAAATGTACAGAGTGTGTATGTATGGAATGCATTACTGACATCACCAAAGGAGCAGCTATGCTGCATGGAAACTGTTTATACTGGGTCATTTTTCACTTCTCTCTAGTTTGTGACTATCTATCATGATTAACATTTCTATGTATCTGAACAATATTTCTACATGCAGGGTTGCTGCTAAATCTTTAAAAATTCTTACTTAGCTCTTTTATATTCTCTGCTTGAAGAATATTAGCAGACACTAAAAAAGTATGTTTCCAATCAAAGAAACTCGGGTAAACAGCCAAGTTTTAGATCACCATCTAAGCACAGGTATTAACTACATTTTATTTTTACAAAACTTCAGATAAAATGGAATGTAGTTATGGTTGTCGTCTACTAAGCAACTTTACTTAGGAGCTGAGAGAAAAATGAGTGAGAATGTGTTTTTTAATATTATAAACCAGGGGTTGGCAAACTGGTTCACAGGGCAAATATAGCTGATAACTGTTTTTATAGGTCTGCAAGCTATTAAGGGTCTTTTTTATAAAGAAAAGAAATAAGTATTTGTACTTAATAAATCTTTATTTTCATATGCTAACTATAGTTTCCCTGGATTCATAATTTTATGTTTTACTATAATGGAAGCCCAGTAAGGACGGGACTTTATTCATTTATCCACTGCTGTATTATCAGATTCTAGAATAGTCTGGTAAATATTGTCTTAATGTTCTGAAATGAGTTCTGGAATAGAATTGGGGTACAGAAGGAACAGTATACACCTCCAAGCCAGGCAGAATCAAATGCTTGTTAAACATAAAAATATACAAATTTAACTATAATCATTTCTGCTACTCTACTAGTACTTGTAATTAGTTTTTGCATATATGGAAATATCATAATGAAACCCCTTTGTACAATTAATATGCAAGAATAAAATCCTTTCCTATCATTAACAATTTATTTTAAAAACTAAAAACTGACAAGTAAAAATGTGTATGTTTATGGTGTATGTTTTTACATGTGTATATGTTGTGGAATGGCTTAACCAATCTATTTAGCATATGTATGACTCATACACTCATTTTTTTGTGGTGAGAACACTTAAAATCTACTCTTCACTATTTTCAGGTACAGCAATATACCAGTATTGACTACAGTCATTGTGATATATAATAGATCTCTTGAACTTATTTCTCCTATGTAACAGAAATTTTGTGTATTTTGATGATCTCTCTCCTTACTCCCCACCCCTATAAATCCCATTGGAAGGATAGTTTCTTTTTTTTCTATAAATTTTTATTAGGATATATTCATTATACAAAGGGGGATTCATAGCGACAATTCCGATTAGACTTATATTGTACATTAGTTACATTGCCTCCATCGTCTCTCCCTCTCAACCCCCTCCCTGCCCCACTTAAAGTAATTGCAAGATGTTTCTTAGTTCTGTTTCACATAGGTATGTGAAGTCAACCTACTATACACCATCACCTTAATTTCCTTCATTCACCCTCCTCCCTTTCCTTAGCCGTCACCCCATACTGTATCTATTTTATAGTCCTGTTTTTCACTATTAATATTTAAGTTGATGCTCAAAAGGGTGTCCCAATGTATGCCCACTGTGGGTGTACTTTACTGTGGTTCGTTCAACCCCTTCCATTATTCTCCTTTACCCCTTTACCTACCCCCCACCATTTTTCAACAGCTATCAATACACATCCTTGTACCTTCAACCTTCACATCTTATGTTTTATGATATCACTGATGCCCTATCACTCTCTTTTCCTTTCCCTCTTTCCCCGAGTTCCATAGAGTAGTTCTACTATTACAAGCAAGTTCTATGTATGACTTTGTATATGATCAGGCTTGTTTTTGTGTGTATGTTTATCTTTTGGATCTATCTTCCATGTATGAGAGAAAATGTGGCCTTTGTGTTTCCGAGCCTGGCTTACTTCACTTGACATGATGTCCTCCAGTTGCATCCGTTTCTCTTCAAACAACATGTCACTACTCTTTATGGCTGAGTAATACTCCATTGTGTACATATACCACATTTTCTTGATCCATTCATCAAAACAAAACACCCATATAAATATTTTCAGGGTGTCTGGTGGCCTGAATTTCAGTAATTATTGATCTATTATTTTTACTTATTTATTTTTGTATCATACTTATACACAGATCTACTTTTTCCTTTTCTCAAGGCTTTTGATAGAGTTTTTGAAATAAGAAAGCTAAAAACACTCTTTTCAAAGTATATAAAGCCATGTAAGTCACACGTTGTCTTTTTAAGGATAACAAGAATGGTAAATGATAAAAACAACACATACCGGAGTTTCTGTAGTGGATGTGGCTGGCTGTTGTAATGATTGTGGACGAGATTCTTCTGATTGAGTTCTAACCAATCCACTACCGTGACCTTTGACAGTGTCACCATTGGTAACTGGATGTTGCTGGGTCAAAGCAGCTTTTAATCTCTGAAATGCAAACACCATTAAAAAAAAAGTTTCCTGGTTTACACCCAAGCCAACTCTCAACACTCTGTAGCTAACCAAAATACATTATTTGTTAAGGAACACAGAAATACATTTGGCTTTGGAAAACAGTTTTTATTATATTTCAGTACATTATTAGAAATATCAATACGACAAACAATAAACAATAAATAGGATCTTAGGGAAACTTCTCTTTTTGTCTAGTACTAACAGGGGACTCTATAATTAGCTGTTCCTAATGAAGTCTGAGAAAGTTTAAAAAAATAAACACTGTTAACTGAAAGTAACTAGCTTTGTTCAACTAAAATGTGTAACACAAGTTAATTAAGATGTACACTTTTACTCATTCCCTTCTACCCCATTCCTATACTCCATACCAGGCTCTGCCTAGAGTCCAGGATCTAAATCTCTTCTTTTCCAGATTAGGGCCCTTTGCTTGCACGTCTGATGCAATACTTAGTTGGACAATGACCTAATATTGCGTTTTTTAGACCACTATGATGCCTGTTAGATTGAACTTTTTCCAGAACCTACAACTAGTTGAATATACCTCTTGTAGGTTCCTCTCTGTCCCCAATAGTCAGATTGATTTTTCCACTATGTTCTATTTTGCCAGATAGCTGAATCAGACCTCATGGACTTTCACAATATGATAAATCTCCTCTTATAATGAGGCCCTAGATATTTATGGATATACTTCTCACAAAGGTACAAATTGAATGCTTCAGCAAAATTGTCACATGTGACTATCTTATTTCCCAACCATATAGCAAGCGCTTTAAAAACAGATTTTCTTGTATTTCTTTGTATCTCTGTTAGCATAACAAACATATTTGCTAATTGACAGAAATTGGTTTCTTTAGTGAAAATGGTTTCTTTAGTGAATACTTCTCACAAAGGTACAAATTGAATGCTTCAGCAAAATTGTCACATGTGACTATCTTATTTCCCAACCATATAGCAAGCGCTTTAAAAACAGATTTTCTTGTATTTAAAAACAGATTTTCTTGTATTTCTTTGTATCTCTGTTAGCATAACAAACATATTTGCTAATTGACAGAAATTGGTTTCTTTAGTGAAAATGGGCACAGGACGTCTTTTAAGTAATTTTAATGTTACAATCTGTAAATATGAAATAGCACAAGATAATCATACTGTAGCATCTCAGCAGTAAAAAGGAGTTCAGGGACCTGAGAAACCTGGGACTATTATTGTTGACACAGAGATGTACTTCTTAAGGCCAAAATAAGTATTAGCACAAATATCTGAGTCAGATATATTCGCTATTATTTACTTATACATTTATTTATTGTAGGGTTGGGAACTGAAACCAGGACCTTGCACATGCTGTGTAACCACTCTACCACTGAGCCACATCCCTGGCCCCTATATTTTCTTAAGATCTACATTCAGAGTATCTGGGGGAAAAGAGGCTCCCTCCCAAAAACAAATCCTATATGTAATGTATTGGTAAGAACTGTGTTGTAGTCTATCTAGTATTTTCCAGACTTCCTAGAATAACTGGGGTGTTAGGTATTACAAATAGGGATTCTTAGCAATCTTTACTTTCTTTTTTCCCTTCGTATTTAAGCAAAGGACACAAGAGCAAAGCTTTTGTAAAAGGATCCCAAATGATTCTAGTACAGCTGCTTTCATTTATTACAACCAACAAGTTAGAAAATTTTACAACTATTCAAAAATTAGCAAAGTCTTTATTTTCATCCACGCACATCTTTGACTTCTATTATATGTACACTTTTATTAACTGAAGCATATATGAAAAGGTCACTAGATTTCTTCTGAGACAATAATTGTATCTGGGTAAGTGGACATTTTCTCTTTACTGCTAATCCTTAAGATTCTGAATTAATATTTAAAATGAAGCCATTAGTTAAAAAAAGTTTTATGGAAGTGCAAGTTACATTCAGTAAATTTACTCTTTTTGGTGTATAGTTCTATGAGTTTCAAGAAGCAAATATATTTGAGCCATTTCTTCCTCAATTATGATACATCAGAGTTAGTTCTACCCCCAACATGCCCTTATGCCCTTCTTGTCATACTCTTCTGGCTCCTGGAAACCAACAATGTGTTCTCTGATCCCAAGAGTTTTATCTAGAATACCATATAAATGGCACTTGAGATTCACTAGGGTGTTGTATTACCAGCACTTTTCCAATGTGTTTTTAATTGGATAGAATCTCCACTTTATAGATTAGAAAAACAGTGATCATTTGCTCAAAGTCACACAGCCAATAAACCAACTGATGAACCAGGATCTCTTCAGTTTAGCCATATGCACAATTTAGCCATACACTATGTTGTTTCCAGAAAGGGAAGAGCAGGAAAGAAAATAGAGATTACATGACTTAATGATTCGAAAGACAACCACAAAGGATTGAAAATGCCAAGCCTGATAATGCAAGTGTTAAGCCATGTCACTCAAGATCAGCCATGTTTTCTCCCTCTTTTCTGGCAGACTTTATGAATTATAAAGTAGTATTTGGATGGATGCCAGTGGCTCATGCCTATAATCCTAGCTACTTGGGAGGATTGTAGTTCAAGGTCAGCCTGGGTAGATATTTCATGAGACCTCCATCTCCAAAAGTAACCACAGCAAAAGGACTGAGAGTGTAGCTCAAGTGGTAGCATGCTTGCTTTGCAAGCATGAAGCCCTGTGTCCAAATCCCAGTCCGACCAAAAAAGTACAATACTTGTAAAGTCCTAGTATCTTCACTGATTAGTATACATAATGTATTATGAAGTCCTATAGAACTAAAAGATACCTTAAGTTTAGAACTTAACTGTTTTCATCTATGACTTTGAACAAATCATTAAGCTCTGAATCCTGATACATTTTCAGTAAAACTCAGAATAAATACTTGTAGGGCTTGCAGTAAAAGTTAAATATAACACACGAAACTATCATTTCTCAAGAATTTCTTCAAGAATAGCTATCAAAAAAAAAAAGAATTGCTATCAAGGTCTCTATTTTCATAGCATGGAGGTAGTGGGGGTGTTGAAGAATCTGGAGAGTTTCTACACTTTTGTATTTTTAAAATGTACTTAGCATTCATCTTAAGCATTGGTTTGGCCCTTATCTAAAATGTAAAATATGTTCAAGACCATGTTATACTCTGCATTTTTCAGAAGCCAGATAAGATCGAGTTCCTTTCTTTTTTAAACAATCAGGTGCAGTACTAATAGTGAAGGCACAGAAAATTAAGACACTAATAACTGATAGGACAATGTTGAAATAGATAAATTAAAAATGAAATTAGATGAGTGGCCAAACAGCAATTAACTGGAATCAGCGAGGAGTACTTACAAAAAATGATCAAGAATTGTAAGATAAAAACTAAAAAAAGTGCTATAAACAGAACAAAGAAGGAATGTCTGGGGAGTTGGTCAGTCTGCATATTTATTTCTTTTATATACAGAGTGTTAGGTATCAAAATACAATGAGTGGTACCTAGTCCACAGTGCTAAGTTGGAGCTTTCATTTTGTATATAAAATGTGCATAAATATAACTAGAGGTTAAACTGGTAAATTATGTGTTAGTAAAACATTTTTAAGTCCTTAGGTAGAAAACATCATAGAACTGAAAAGCATTTAAAGTTTTATAGTGAAGAGCTTAACTCTTAGAATTAATGAAATACAGTAACTGCACTTAGGGGAGTCTGCAGTACATGAACATCACTCTCTTGAATAATCTTTAGTAGGGCAAGTTACTACCTTATAGAGCACTTAAAAGCAACATCAGTATTCATTCATTATCCTCCCTTGACTGCCCGAGGGTATACAGTACCCATCCAGTGAGGAAGCACTAACGTTTGTTCCATGCTGTTACACTGATTACAATGGGTCTGACTTGGAAAGTGTGCCACTGGGTATAAAATGTAAGAAAGAGATTTTTAAGGATTAATTAACATTGCTCTGAATTACCCATTAATTAAAAAAAATACAACAAAAATATGCATGCTAAACAATTAGATTGAATTAGGTGAAGAAAACATTTATTAAGTATCATTCATATAAAGTTTACAATTAATATAAGGATCCTATCCTTCCATATTTGTTAGGGGTATTTGATTTTCAAAGGAAATATAATTAAATGGTATTTTAGACCAAATATCTTGGTCTAAAAAATTAAAGAAAACAATTATACATATAATGGACGTTTATTTTACAAACAGAATTTTGGAGCTAATAGATATAATGAAAATCAGTCCAAGTACCACCTTATAGATAAACTTCCCAGAGTGAGTTACTTTTCAAAATCATAAACCAAGTTAGTCGCAGAAATAAAACCAGAAATTCTGTTGACTGCCAATTTGCTGAACATATCTTAAAAACTTTATCAAGATGGAGCACTGCTCTAATAATAATAAGTATTTTAAATACAGTAGCAATCAATCAAGTTGGTATCAGATATAGGTCACTTCATTACTAAGATCAAAATTTCTCTCAGTAGAGAAATTTAATATAATAAAAATTGAGTATTTAGGGAAATTAAGATTGAACAGTGAGAAATTTGTTAAGATTTAAACAGTCTATAATCTCCAACACATACAATAAAAACTGGGTATATTTTAAGTTAAAGATTTACATTTGTTTGAAAGAAAATTAAAATATCATTGTATTGCTATGCAGGAGGCTAGGATGTTAATTATTAGAGTTAATTTTTAGTGATACCAAGTTTAACTACTATATCTGAAGTTATTCTTAGAGACACAGATTGTGCCAATTACTGAAAGGGTGAAGTTTGTTGTGCTGACCAATCTGATATATTCATTTTCAGAGGTGATCTGCTAAAAATAATTTGATATTTAAGTTCTATGTTTTATGTTTATGTTGGACCTTTGAAAATAAATTTTATCACATCAGAAACTTGGTAGGAATAAACTACTCAATCATAGTTAAGAGAAAAAAGATAATGTTCTTTAGAAACAATTTATGAAAAAGTCAGATCCATATTTCATGT